TTCCCCGTAATACTATAATGACAATAAAAAAGGCCTGAAAGGCCGTCCTGTCCAGATTTGACAGGTAATTGAATTGGTTGGGCTTAAAAGAATTAGCCTTAAAAAAAAAAAAAAGAGAATCGCAAAGCAAGAATTAATTTTGAATAAATTAATTTGAATATATTCGAAGTTGATTCGCGAGTGTATTTTTCAAGAAAATACGAAAGCGAAATTTTCAAGAATTTCCAAATGAAGAAAAATAATAATTAATTCCGAGAAAAGTAAATTCCGACGAAATTTATTTGGATTTACATTCGGGGTAAAATTTTACAATTTTGAAAAGGGGTGATTAATTCCGAGTAAAAGAGATTAATTCAGTCGTGAATTAATCGAGTTTAGTCGCAATTAATTCAGGAGTTCAGAAAAAAAGGAAAGTATTTCTGAATAAAAAAATAATTTCGAAAAAGAATTGCAAAAAAGAATTGCAAAAAAGAACTGCAAAAAAGAATTTTTCAAATTTCAAGAAAAATTGCAAAAAGGAATTTTATGAATTAAAATATATAAGAAAAAGAATTAACTAGAATTATTTTCGAATTTCCAAAAGAAATATCAAAAAGAATTTAATTAATTCTAATTTCTCACGTATTTTCAAAATTTTCGAAAAAAGAATGGAGTAAAACTGTAAAAGTAGTTGCAAATTCCCAAAAAGAAATGTTGAGAAAGAACTGACTAATCCGAACGAAAAGAATTTAATTAATTCTGAAATATTTTCGAATTACAAAAATTCCAAAAAACAATTAATTAAAATTATTTTCATAATTTCAAAAAAAAAACGAAAAAGAATTAATTAGAAATGTTTTCGAAAGAGAAATGTCAAAAAAAAAAAAAAAAAGAATTTAATTAATTGTGAAATGTTTTCGAATTACTAAATTTTTGAAAAAGAATCAAGTAAAATTCTTTTTCGAAATTTGAAGAAGAAATGCCGAGAAGGAATGATTAATCCTACGTGTTTTCGAAAAAAGAAAATATTTTTGAAAAATAAATGTCGAGAAAGATAGTTAATTAAGTGTTTACAAGAATTTCAAATGGATTCTCAAATAAAAAAATAATAGATAAAGGAATAAATGAGTTTTCATGTAAATCGCGATCCTATCTACTATTGATTGGGTGGTAG